GTGTTTTAAACATCCTTGATGCAACTTGATTTCTTATATCAAACTGGTGTGCAATAAATACACACTGTTAAAAATCTTATTTGTTATCGCATTGGAATTTGATCTCAGTATCTGATAAAGAAATATTCTTATTATTATTCAGTGGTGGAGGTGATAAACATAAAAACCTAGACCTACATGAAATCCCCTGTTACTATTCTGAGGAGATAATGTTGAACCTCTGTTGGGCAGGGTCACACTCCTCTTGAAGACTCAAGTTTATATTTTGGGTTTATTTCTGGATTCATCCTAATCATGGATGCCCAGGTTTTACCCCAAGGCAAGAGTGGGTTTTCACAAATAAGACTAGCACACCAAATACATGAATGACCAAGGAAGGAACATTTAGTGGAAACAAGAGAAATGGCCTTTTCAATGAATGGTCCAAGGCTCTCTGGGATTCTCTGCCAATACAAGCTGGAGTGGCTCCCTCTTTGGGGGTGCTTCCCTGGGCAGGTAGACCCTTAGTATTTAATATGGTTTATTGGCTGAAGAGCATTTCAGCTGGTTGGATACTATCTCTCTTTACTGCAACATGGAGTATGTCCAAATATTTACTCCAGCACTTTGGAGTTTACTCCTGAAACTACTGGTTCAAATTTTACTGGCTATGCTATGAGTGCAGGCCAGTAGCAAGAAGGCTGGGGGTGGGAGTGAGGACTATTGTTTCTTTTAATAGTTGCAGGGCTGTCCAGGTGTCCTGATTTAAAAGCTGCTCATTGAGACAGGAAATTGTATCTTGTTCTGAGGTTTACTGTAATAAAGTATATACTCCTGAGGGATGGCGCTGCTGAGTCCATGAATCACTTTATGGGCAGGCTGCTCTGACCTCGACCCCATGATTTATTTATGTCATTCTGCGGCAGGAATTGTAGAAATGTAACTAGTACATGGTCTTGCCTCCTAGATGAGCCTTTAACTAGGAGGCTGGTCTATACCCACCAAATCCAGATCCAAACTGCCCGTACAGTACTGTATGTGTGAGTAGTTTTCATATAAGGGAAGCTCTCAGTGTTTCTGTCATTAAAAAAAACTTGCTCTGAAAAATGAATGTGACAGTAAAACACTTTTTGTGAAAAAAAGAGTGTTCCAAGTGCAGGACTTAAAAGTAGTTTGGTCTTTTTCTGCTACTTGTGCTGCCATTTATCTTGTGCAAAATTGGTCATTACTACAATTTAAAAGTGTGATAGTAGATCAGAACTGGAATTCACGTGACTTATAGTTGTCAATCACAGAAGAAAGACTTTCAAAATTAATATATTTTCTTCTGAATTCTACATCCAAAACATATGGATTTTTTTCAATGTTTTGTTCAAAGGACTTAGAGCTGGAAATATACGTTTCTTTCAAACCAGCAAGTCTATAGTGTTACTTCATCAGTCATTACTTGATGACAACAATTTTAAGAGATTTCTTGCATCTGTGGACCAGGAAGAGAGGTAGCTTTCCTGTCTCTTAATACTACATCAAACACAACTACAGTTTGTATTTTCAACTGCAACACATGAAAAGATAGAATATGACCAGTCATTGTGATTCTTGCGTGATTCTGCATTTAGAGTTACAAATTGTCTAGACTAGACAAATAGTAACCTTTAAAATGTAATGTGGATAACCTTTAAATTCCAGTTTGGTCATTAAGAGAAAATGTGGATTGGGAGCTATTGATTACATTGGGAAATATGAGACGATAACTAAGAAGCACAAGGATATATGATATACATGTTTGAACAGAGCACTTGACAAATGTAATCTAATAAAAATCAAGACTAAAATCAGAATATAGATTTAAGTGACAAACATTGTTATGTAATGTATTCGGCAATATAAGCAGAACCAGCAACAAAATGTTGCTCCTATTTAGGATCACCTGTTGCAGGGTCCTACAGAATATTCCATCCCTTTTCCCCTCTTCCCATCCTGTTTTACACTTTTCTCTATACAGTCAGATGGTATTTTGTTGCTAGCAACTATGCTTACCTCATATTTGAGCTGTTACTGGGTTGCTTTATACAGATGAGAATACCAGCTTGATTTTTGAGTAACACGCATCATTTACTCATTATTTAAAAATACAGTGTAGGGGACTCTTTTTGCCATTCTTTGCCCTTTTAAAAACTGTATCAATGTTTGATTTTGTGTTTTTAAATTCTTTGCAACTTTCCTGAAGGATCCTTTATACTTCTTTCTTTTCAAACAAACTCCACCTGTGTGGGCAGCTTTTTAAAAAAGCTAATAGCATGGAAGCCTTGAAGGAGTAGCATTCTAAACAAGGTGCACAGATCTTTCCTGCCCCCTTTTTAAAACCAACCTATATTAGATCTTCTGAATGCTGGTGGTAGAGGTCTGGAGACCCAAACAGTATTGTTTATAAAAGCACATGGATGGTCTGTGCATGCCACAGATTACCCATGTAAAGTGAAACCTCTTGCACTTCTTTAACAAAACTTTCCAGCTCTTATCAGAGGTCCTTTTGGACTCAAGGCCAGATTCCATGGTGGGGTGGAGGTTGCAGAGAACTTGGAGAAATATATACTGTATAAGCAGCATGGCATTAACACATTTGTTGAGTGACTGCTATTGTGTGTCTTCAAGTACAGTAGCGGCTATCACTAATGAGGGAATTTGGAGTAGAGCAGCAATTTTGTCAGCATGGCTTTCCTTGTGACATCCCAGATCCTCAGTAGATAGAGGGCTGTGGACTGAACATAAGAGTAAGTTCAACCCAAATAGTTCAGCAAACCACTCCATTATTTCACACCAGATTCTTAATCAACCAGTGAGGCATCTCTACAGTCCTTCTTTGCTTAGCACCCTAGAGTCCTTTGGCAAAATGCCCAGAAATAGTTCCTTTCATCCACCCAGAATCAGTTTCTTTCACTGCCCACCATCCAGGGACGTGCCTATATCTCAGCCCTTCAACTCTCTTCTGAGAATGTCCTTTTAGTTTTCAGTGTCCTGGAGATAACACACCTAGTATTTCCATCTCCACTGCCTTTTCTTTGGGATAGCTCTTACATACAGTATTTTTAAAATAGGATTCTGACTGTAGTGGTTATCACTGATTGTTGGGGTGCTATTTAAGCTATGTAAAGATACCTACTCAAATAATGAATTAACCATTCTGATTATGTCAGCCTCACTCATACAGGCTGGCTTAAAGTTGGCATGCAAAGAAATTGACTGCTTAAATATTGCTAACTGAATATTTGATTGCTATGAAATATTACTTATGTATGTCTCTAACCTTCTGGTTAATGTTCAGCTAACAGAATCTGATCATCTAACAGAAAAATACCATTTTAAACTCCAATTTACATCTTTTCTTAACCTTTTCTTTCGGCTATAAGTATAAATACAGTGGTGCCTCACATTGCGATGTTAAATCGTTCCAGCGAAATCACTGTAGAATGAAAACATCGTAAAGCAAAATTTAAAAGCCCATAGAAACGCATTAAAACTCAATTAATGCATTCCTATGGGCTTGAAACTCACCGTCCAGCGAAGATCCTCCATAGCGCGGCCATTTTCGCTGCCCGTGCAGCGAGGATTCCGTCCCGGAAAACAGCGGGCGGCCATTTTTTTCAACCTGGTAGCCATTTTGAAACCGCCGATCAGCTGTAGGAAAATCGTCATTTTGTGAGAATCGGTTCCCGAAGCAGGGAACCGATCATCACAAAGTGAAATTCCCCCATAGGAAACATTGTTTTGCGATTGCTTTTGCGATCACAAAAACTTCGTCGTTATGTAACTTCGTCATAAAATGGAGCGCTCGTCTTGTGAGGCACCACTGTAATTAAAAACACACAATAGACAATGGATAATATTACTTACATATTAATTTAAAGTATTTTACACTGCTTTTCATTGAAGGGTGGGGAATGAAAATAACAAAATGAGCCACTAATTTTTACATAGCAATTTTTTATCATGACTAGCTGAAATGGAAAAGGTTCAGAGAGAGGAAAGGCTTGATGAAGCTGATCTTTCAGTAGAGTATCATCTTTTAGGCCAGCGTGCGTTCATGAAAGAAAGCAGAGGGTATTGCTTAGTAAGAGAACTGTCTTAGTTGCTAAGAATTTACAGGTTCAGATTGGGAAAATAAGTACCATCTTTACAAGATCCTTGGAAAAAAAGTTTTTCTTTGTTTAGAAAGCTAAACCTGACTCGTCAGGTATTAGGGATTAGATGATTATGTTAGTGGGATGGAGTTCTTTTGCCATAAGCAGTGACTGCATAGCCTGAGAATCGTGCAAGTATGAGGCGGCTCTATGGCCCCAACATTTTTTTTCATTTTATATAGTTTTAATACCTATAATTTCTTTTTATGGAGATCATGGAATAGTTCAGTCATAGGACTATCCCAGTCCCTTTTTTATTGTGGAGGTTTAGTTTGCCCTTAGAGCTATATCTTAATATGGTCTTCAGAAGATGTGCAATGAAATTAGACTTGTCTTCAGTTGTTACTTAACTGGCAACATCTTTCAGCTTTAATGCAGAGTGTGTAGATGCATAGTATCTTTGTTGAGGAGGGATGGGATAGATCATTTTAAGTTTTGGGGTGGGGAGCATAAGACTGTGGGTTGGATTCAGGAAAGGAGTAATACACTTAACCTATTGAATTAAGAAAGGGTTACTACATCTGAGAATATCCTCAGCACAGATTGCCCTCTGATGTCTTCCCCTGTGTGGGCTTATCTGAGATTTGCAGCAAACACCATCAACCCCAGCTGAATGTGTGCTGGCCAGCTTGGTTTTTTGAACTACCATTTTAAATTCCCTGAGTGTGACATCATTATGGGGTAGTATGCTGAAATTAGCCATCTCTGGATCTGGCTACCTAAAACACATAATGAAGGGGTAGGGGGTGAATTAAACCAGGATAAGTATCAGCAGTAAGTTACAAACACAAGGGACATAAATAAATTTATTCTTCCCCTACTTCTCTCTTTATCTTCCAGACAAGAAGCCCTTCTAGCTGCCATTAGTGAAAAAGATGCCAACATTGCTCTGCTGGAGCTGTCGTCCTCCAAGAAGAAAACCCAAGATGAAGTAGCTGCACTAAAGCGAGAGAAAGACCGTTTGGTGCAACAGCTAAAGCAACAGGTACAAGAATATTAGGAATAGAATTGCTGGTGATTATTTTAGTTTCTATTTTTTTTCTTATGAGCAGGGGGCAGGAGGACACAACCAAATCTACAAATACATGCTTTTATTAGGAATAGCAAAACAGTTGTTCTGTTTTTCAAGTTTTCCAGAAATTTTCACCAGTCTAAATAATGTAAAAATTAGAAGAGAAAAGAAAAGAAGTTAGGGAACCTAAACTTTTAGCCAGGTGGTGCTGCATTCATGTAGTCTGCTTTTAAGCTTAGTCCCAAAATGGAGATATCAGATTGAATCAAGGTGCAATGAGATGATGGTATAGAATTGCATTGCATCAGGCCACTTGCTGGATTCAGTCTCGTTTAAAGTGATCCAATCCTGATTGTTCCAGCCCACCTCAAAAAATTAAAAAATTAAAGAGAGAGAGAGAGAGTACACAAACATCCCGGTTCAAAAAGGTTTGGACTGAGGACAGAGCAAGGTTGGGCTTGTTTGCGATTTCTTGTATATCATGTAGGTGCCAGAAAATAGCTTGGAATGGACCATTCCAAAATGCAAAGATGTATCGTCATGCAATCACACCCTCAGTCATTAAGAATATGAGTGACAACGTGAATACTCTTAGGTACTCCTTCCAATCAAGAGCTGCTCCCTTTACTTCACATGCTATATCCAGTTTGGAACATTATTTTTATTTATTTTTATTTTTTATTTACAATATTTTTTAGCCGCACCATTGCCAGTGGCTTCTGGCAATGGTGTTAGCATTAGTGATTAATACTTTCTCCAGCTTTGAAAGCCATATGTTTTCAATACTCTGACTTTATTTAGTGAAAGATAAAACAACTTTTTGGTTATGCACAAAGCTATTGTGAAACTTGTTTTTATGTATTTATAAATATGTATGTATGCATGTATGCATGTATGTATGTATAGAGAGAGTGTCTGTGTGCATAAGCACTGAGAAACCCCAGTCTCTTTTTAAGCAGCTAGTTACACAATGGAATTTTATGAATATATTGATTTATATTTACTTGTACAGTATATAAAATATTTGTATATAAAAATGCACTTGCTTCAGTTTTTATGTATTTATAAATATGCATGTATGCATGTATGCATGCATGTATGTATAGAGAGAGTGTCTGTGTGCATAAGCACTGAGAAACCCCAGTCTCTTTTTAAGCAGCTAGTTACACAATGGAATTTTATGAATATATTGATTTATATTTACTTGTACAGTATATAAAATATTTGTATATAAAAATGCACTTGCTTCTTTCTCAGATATTCTTTCTCTGAAAACAGTTTTCCGAACATAACACTGAGATTAGTGACAGTGTGTCCTGGGAGGTTGAAATGCTCTGACACTAGCTTTTATGTGTTCCCTTTTTTTGATTCCATTTATTCTTTTGCCCTGTGGGAATGCAAGGAGAAACTGCTAGTAGAGGATGGTTTATATATAAAACTAGAAGATGTTCAGTTATATATGAAGTTATAAGGAACAAGTAAAACAGCCCATGCCATTTTGATGTCATTGTTCCAACTTGTAAGGATGCCATTTGTAGAGACATGTGCAGGGTTTATGTGGCACTATATCCATTCCTCACTGTGCCTTCATCATAGAATCGTCATTGGGTTGGAAGGGACCTTAGAGATCTTCTATTCCAACCCTCTGCTCAATGCAGGAGACCTCATACCATCCCGGACCTCATACCATCCTGGACAGATTACTGTCCAATCTTTTCTTGAAGACCTCCAGCGATGGGGCACCGACAACATTGGGAGGCAAGCTGATCCACTGCTTCATGGTTCTCACAGTCAGGAAATTCCTCCTTATTTCCAGGTTGGATCTCCCTCTTGACGGGTTTCAACCCATTGGTTCTTGTCCTACCCTAAGGCACAATGGAGAATAAATCGATGCCCTCTTCCCTGTGGCAATCCTTCAGATATTGGAAGACCGCTGTCATGTGTCCCCTGAGTCTTCTCTTCCTTAAGCTAAACATACCTAGTTCTTCTACTTGTTCTTCATAGGATTTAGCCTCCGGTCCCCTTATCATCTTCATTGCTCTTCTCTGCACCCCTTCCAGGGCCTCAGTGTCTTTTTTTGTATTGTGGTGACCAGAACTGGACACAGCACTCCAGGTGCGGCCTCACCTGTGCGGTAGAATGGTACTATCACTTCCTGTGATCTCGATGCTGTCCTCCTATTGATGCAGTGTAGGACTGTGTTGGTTTTCTTGGCAGCTGCAGCACACTGCTGACTCATCCTTAGGCGGTGGTCCACCAGGACACCTAAATCCATCTCACAGGTACTACTGTCGAGCCAGGTACCACCTATCCTGTATCCTGGTTTCTCCTACCTAAGTGCAGGACCTTACTTTTCCCACAACTGAACTGTATCTTATTGGATAGGGCCCAACGTTCAAGTCTGTCTAGATCCTTCTGAATGTTGGGTCTGTCTTCCAAAGCATTAGCAATTCTCCCCAGAATTGCTAATACTTTGTGAATTTGTGTCATCAGCAAATTTGATGAGTGCCCCTTCAATCCCTTCATCCAGGTCATTTATGAAGATGTTGAAGAGTACTTGGTCCAAGACAGAACCTTGAGGGACCCCACTGCACACTTCCCTCCACATAGATGTGGTTCCATTGAGGATGACACATTGAGTGTGGTTGGTCAGCCAGCTACAAATCCATCTGATAGTTGCACTGTCTGTCCCACTTTGTTCTATCTTACGCAGAAGTAGCTTGTGCTTACTGAAATCTAAGTATACGATATCCACTGTGTTTCCTTGACAGGGGCTGGTCTTGAGGATCCGTAGAATTCCTTCCAGCTCTGCAGTTCTAAGATAATAATGATGGTTATAATATTTTGTGGCCTATTATTGATCAGTGGCTTAGAGTTTGCAGTTATTGTAAAGAGATGGTACTGAAATAATGGAATTCCTTTCCTAAGAATGTGCGGCTCTGGCACCTTCCTTACAATCTTTCCAGTGCTCACAAATCTGTCCTTTTCTCATAGACTTGTAACAGCTTCTGAGTTGACTTTGTAGTAGTATCTGTCCCTCTTACTGCTTCATGATTAATTTGATTTTTTTACTGGTTGTGAATCTTGAATGTTTTTACCCACTACTGTTTCTATTATGTTGTTATTTGTGTTTTGTGATTTTTTTTTTCATGGCAAGATAATTTGGTAGTTTTGTGTGTTAGATACAAATCCCAGTGAATACATATCACCTACTTCTGGCATATGAAATTTTTTACTTATTCCTTAAGATATGTTAAGCTAATCTTCTAGGCATATTGCACAATAAGGAAGTCCACTGGGCATGTGAGAATGTATTAGTGTTATATATGTAAAATGGTTTCTGTAAAACTGAAAGCCAACACCAGTAGTAACACCTATATTCTTGGGATAAGATTGTCTAGTAAAATTTTAGAAATAAAAATTATACCATCAAGAAGCTGCTTTATATTCTAGAAAAGCCGTTGCAACTAGTTATGATACAGGTACATGTAAAGGCCTTTTCCAGATGCTGACCTGGCAGGCAACTAACGTATCTAAAGAAAAGTTCATCTTTTTTGTCTAGTATCTTCAATTGCCTTTTAAGTGAGTGTTATTTTTCCTATGTGTGATACTGGCTAAACAATATAAATAGTATTTCAGATATATAAAATACCCATTCAAAGGAGAAAAAAAATTCTGATTTTGCTTCCTTCCATAAGACCTGTTGATGTTTTTAGGATAAAGAGTCCCATGCTGTCCTTAATGGCAGTCTAGGAGACAGTTGCTCTTTTCCTTTTTCCCCAGCTAATATAAACATTGTATTATTATTCAAGGAAGGAAAGAAAATCTCTATTCAGAGAACTGTTGAAATCAATTAAATCATTCTCAATGAGTTTCAGCTAAGTAATTTCCATGCCAGTTCTTTTTTTTTTTAACTTCAGTTATTCATTTGTGGGGTACCTAGCAATTGCTGCCATCTTTGGGCAAGCATTTTTGGGCTCTAAGCCATCAACTACTACTATTTGCTTGACTTTCTCTGCTGTTATTACTAAATTATTATGTTGCCAAAGACAGCAAATTGGAGCCAACAACCCTTTCTACCAAAGATTTCTTCAGAAGTGACAGTACTCTGGTAGCAGTGGTTTTGCACTTAAGGTTTAATATTGAAATAAAATATTAAAGTTTGCTCAATTAAGTTCTTTTTCCAATAGTTAAAATCAACATTAAAGCAGGTCAGAAATCAACTTTACATTTTTAAAAAATATTCCATTTTACTGGAAGAGTCATAAATACTATCACTTTCCAGTAAGATGGCTATATACCAACAAAAGCATTTGAAGAACACTTCAGTTTAAAGTGCATATTCACATTTCATCACGTGGATCAAATATTTCTTGGCAGTTGGCATTTGATATCTATGATATTAATTAATTCATTGGAAGTCTGCTTAATAAGCTATTCTCAGATAGTAGAAGGAAATTATCCTTTTGAGGGGTAGATCATGTGATGTATTTCCTCAGGATATCAGGAATATATTCTTTTTCCAAACTGCAACAATAATTGAAAGTGGAGCAGATGATGAGTTTGATCTCTCCAGTAATTGACATGAGCATGGTATGAACAGTATTGTTTAACATAGCCATTGGCATCTACTTGGCAGAAATAAGTCTCCCAGATCATACTTATCATTCTTAATTAAATGCAGAACATTACAGTAAATCTCAAATGTAGATACTAATATAATGGTGTGCCATCAAGTCATTTCTGACTTTTGGTGACTCTTTCCAGTGTTTTCTGGGTAGAGAGTACTCAGAAGTGGTTTTCCATCCCCTTCTTCTGTTGGCGTCCTGGGGTTGTGCAGCTTACCCAAGGCTTACAAAGGCTGGCTGTACTCCCAGGAAGTGCAGTGGGGAATTGAACTCCCAACCTCTGGCTCTGCAGTCAGAGACCTAAACCACTAAGCTATCCAGCCAGCTAATCTATTTAAAACATCT